TAAAAAGTATCTTTATAAGAAGGGAGTAGTATCTGTTCCTTCCCAAGAGCTCCTAACAGATAAAATCTGTTACTACAAATGCATGTAATGCTGCCTCTTAAGTGAGGTTTTATTCTTTTTTTCTCTTTTGAGACAGTCTCAAGCTGTCCCCCTGGGTAGAGTGCTGTGGCATCACAGCTCACAGCAACCTCAAACTCTTGGGCTTAAGTGATTTTCTTGCCTCACCTCCCAAGTAGCTAAGACTACACCACAACGCCCTGATATTTTTTGGTTGTAGTTATCGTTGTTTGGCAGGCCCGGGCTGGATTCGAACCCGCCAGCTCTGGTGTATGTGGCTGGTATCCTAGTGACTTGAGCTACAGGAACTGAGCCGAGGTTTTATTCTTCAGTAGGATTTTAAGCAATATTGTATTAGTGGTCTGACTGGATGATGAAAATAGGGATTTTTTTCCCCCTAGTCATGGAATGGGTGACAACAATGGGAAAAAAATCTCATCCCAGGATCAGGGCAAGCAGTGTGACTAATGAAGAGGTGAGAACAGAGGTGTAGATTTTGGTGTACCATCCTGTATTTGAATCCCAGCTGTGTTATTAACCTTGTTACCTCATGGGGGTGAGTGAGGTTCTGTGTCTAATCCAGTGGTAGGTGCCTTTAAGAGTTTTTGTTTTTTAAATAGATGGCATGGGGCAGCCTGATATTTTTTGTTTTTTTGGTGACAACAGACAAACCTAAAAATAAAATGTAGCAAAGAAATAGCCTTTGATTCTAACTCTAGTTATGCTGGGTCTTTTTCTAAGCTTCAACCAGTATTTCCAGTCCTTACAGCACTGATAATTGGCTAGGTATTGTGTGTATGTTTTGAAATGGAGTCTTGCTCTCTTGTCCTGGCTAGATGTAGTGGTGTCATCATAGTTTACTGCAACCTCACAATCCTGGGCTCAAGGGATCTTCTTTCCTCAGCCTCCTGAGTAGCTGGGACTAGAGGTGTGCGCTATGCCATGCCTGGATAATTTTTCTATTTTTTATATAGATAGGGTCTTGCTTTTGGTCAGGTTTGTCTCAGACTCCTGGCCCACTTCAGCCTCCCAAAATGCTAGGATTACAGGTATGAGCCACTGTGCCCAGCCCTGGCTAGGTATTTTAAATAAAATATAGTGAAATGTATTAGCTGCACTGATGAATAGCAGGAGAGAGCAAAAAAATGGCGTGACTGACACTCACACAGCATATGAAAACTAGGGAGCTTTATTGGTTACATACTGTGCTGAAGAGCCAACAGAGAGCATTAGAGCCAGAGGATACATGCAGACAGGCAGCTTCAACTATACACATGCACCCAAGGAGCCCTGAGCCACTGCTCATGGCTATGCCCTGGTTTCCAGTGACAGGTTCTGGCCTCCTTGGTCCGATGCTTGGAGCGGGAATGTAGAAGCTGCTGCACCTAGGCTCCAAGGAGCACGGGTAAGACCAGAGCACCTGCCTAAGCAAGTAGATGTGACCAACAGACTGATGCCCCCAGCATAGGGACCTATAATGCAATAACAGTTTATTTGAGGGCGACCTTCCTAGCCCTCACAATCTTTAAAATACAAAAAATAGACTTTATTCTCTTAAAAATACATTCCATTCAGTATATGTTCTGAGCTGTGAAGCAGCAGGAAAATAGGGCCCCTTTCCTATGATCTTGGTTATGAGGCTTTGAGGAAAACCCTGTTCCCCACTTGGGGTATTCAAAACATAAACCCTAAAAGCAGCTCTTCCAAAGCAGTCTTACCAGAGTAACAATAACAAAACCCCATACCAACAAGGCAGCCAGGGACTCTGCCTCCGGGTCCCTATTCCTTTACTGGGAAGTGGTGGCACTTGACACTGACTCACTAACTGTGAATAACTAAAACTGCCCCAGGACAAGAAGTCCAAGAACACTACACCCCTCCCTCCCCATCCCTAGCACCCCATGAGAGGGGGATGATTTATGTGCAAGCTTGCCTGTAGCTGAGGTTGAAGTCCTTGGCCCAAAGGCAAATCCCTTTAACCCACACTCTGTTTCAATGCCACTCAAAAGCAAACAGCCATGGCTTACTCTGTCCTCCGCTTAGCGTTCTCTGATGGTTTTAGCATCAGTGGCAGGAGTAGAAGAGACTACCAGCTGCTGGCATTTAGTCAGCTCTACGTGTTCCAACCAAGCAGCTCTAATGCCAGATTGCCCAATCTCACTAGAGATTACACACCTGCTGGTAAAATTTGAGAGTTAGAGCCACGCCGTAGAAGAGGCTTGTCATAAAAGTGGGTTTGTTGGCTAGAACAGTGAGAATATTTGGCTTGATCAGACAAGTATTCAACTACCAGGTCTCCCCTGTACTTGGAGGCTTCTTCCAGGACCTTTGATCAGGAGGCCTGGGTCCAAACAGTCACATGTTGATTGCTTTTCAGAAACATGCCTTCCAACTTTGGAATTTGAGAGCCAGCTTTGCCAGCCATTTGAAGTCCTGAGGAACTAAGCCTCTAGCCTTCACTTGCTATTACACTGTTATTTTCTGCAATGCTGAAGACATTTAAAAATAAAATCTATTTTACACCTGTTCTATAAAGTGTGCAGACTGAAGAAACAAAAAATTTATCCTGAAATAACTGTTACAATCAAACCCTATTGCACTCAGATTTCAAGAAGGCAGCCCCAGCAAAAGGGCACCACAGCTGTACCTCTTCCACAGACATTTTCAGAAGCAGATGCTGGTGCTGCTGAAATGTGGAAAGATCCAGACTTTGGCACCAGGAGCTACAGCACCAGAATCCAGGGATCTATACCAAAGACAAGAATTATTGGTGAGATATTTTTTCGGCATGGCTTGGCACCCTTCTGTTTCCACCAACAGAGAAGAGCCACAGACTTCATTTCCTATGCCTTCAGATGGCCACCACAGAGGTCAATTTCCTTTGAGCTCTCAGGGTTGCCAATCAGTGAAGGAGAATAGCAGGGAAGTGCAAGTGGGGGGTTGCAGCCTTGAGTGAGCTAGTTTCTGAACAGTGACCCAGGAGAAGCAGCAAGAAGAGATTTTGAAAATAGTATCTTAAATTGGGCATCTGAGGTGGAAAGGAAAGGCAATGCCCTTAAGATTGGCAAAATTCCAGAAAAAAGTATGAACAATACATTCTTGTCCCTGAAAGTAAGATAGTGCTTCCTTATCAGGATCGCCAAGTCTGATGCTGCTGACAAGGGTGGGATGAACACTGGTTCTCATGCTGAGTGGAGGCAGAGAAAATGACTCAAATTCCTCTTGAGGAAATCTTAAGCCTTTCTCTTGCCAGGAAATTCATAGCAGATACACAAAAACAGGAGATACGCAGACTTGTGTTATAAAAAGCACCCTTGCCTGAAAGCCAAGAGATAATGTATGGCATTGGGTATGGCTGATGTCACAAAGAGCCTCAGAGACCATCTAACCTAATCTGTTTACATACAGAATGAAAAACTGAGGTTCTTTGAGGTTATCCCCATGAGATTAAAACACGAGGAAAACAAAATATAAGGCCTAAGAAAACAGTTGTAGGCAGGAGAGAAGACACATTCCAAACCCACCCAGATGATCCTTCAAAAGCAGGAATCATCTGACACAGGACAGTAAAAACAAAAGAATCTTCAAATACCAGATATGGGGGGACCTTAGAGACCACCCATTTCAAAGAACTGATTTTACAGATAAGGAAACAGGCTCCAAGAGGACAATGACTCACCCAAGGCCACACAGCAATGAAGTCACGAAGCCATGGAAAAAATCCAGTCATCTAGACTCTTAAATCTAATGCTCGTGCTATGAAGGTATACATCTGCTTTATAAAGGTAGCCTTTGAAAAGGGATCCCTTTGAATTGAAAGAATACTATAGAAAAAGCAGTGCTAAACCATCCCAATTCTTTTTAACTTCCCCAAGTGACTAGTATAAGGAACTAACCAATTTTTATTTATGTGGCTTCCTGAAAGGTTTGCTGCATTTGTGAACTGTATAAACCTGAGGCCCTTCAACGGGCATGTATCATCTTTCCTCCAATGAAGTCACCATAAATTGATAGTCAACTTGCAGAAATCATGGGCCCACTTTTGTAGGAATGCATCAGCTTGGTAAAGTGCAATGACTCCTCCATGGGGGATGGAAGAGGAAGAGAAGGGAGTATTCTTGTAGTCCATGCCTTTCATGGAGCTATTGCTTGTGGAGTGACTAAAAGGAAGTTACTTCTTCCAATCTGCTTTCTGTCTTGCTGGGCACTTCCTTGAAGGTAGAGTATGCTAGGTCAGGCCCAGCTTAGTCTAGGGATCTTCCCAAGGTGGAAACTAAGAAGTCAGCCTGAAGTTTCCAGCCATAGGAGAGAACAGGCGATGCCAGCAGCATTATTGGTACCCAGGAAGGAGATGCATGAGGCTTGTTCATGTCTGGGTGCCTTTGAAGGTGAGCAGAGAGCTGGGGTTGGGAGGGCCGCTGTCATTCCAATGGGTATTCCGCAAGCTGCTCCCAGGAACCAGTGGTCAGCCAGGGGGCCAGGTCAGACAAAAGTCAACTTAAAGGGTACTCCCATAATCCCCTTGAGGCAGCACAGACCTATTCTGGTTTAGAAGTCTGAGGAAAGCCCCCTAAAGCTGATGGCTAGTAAGTCTTAGTGGCTACTTGAGCTGTTAGGGCAAACAAGGAATGAACTGGATGTGGTGAGGAGACTAAGAAGTCAGACTATGGACAAGGGGCTGGTCTATGATACGGCAACAACCCACCAAGGAGCAGAGAAGAGCCATTTGACTGCTGTTGTGTGGTTAGAGATTTCTATATCTTTCTCTATTTGGAGGGCAGGGTGATCAATACTACCTGGGGGACAGGGACAAGGAGAGAGAGAAGACTCATGCATCAGGGAAGGCTGAGCCTGGGTGACTGGACAGCTTGTAGTATGCTTCCCTCTGGCCAACTGGCAAAAACTACCTGAGCCATAGCCCAGCTCTCTATCATGGTCTCCCAGCCAAGGCCTTATGTTTAGCCTGGTCAACTGGCCTTTGATCCTTCATAGGGCAGGAAGGTAGAAGAGCTGACAAGCAGAAGCAGAGGAGAGGCAGCAGACCCCATCCAGCTGGCTCAGTTTTCCTCAGCACAGGGCTTGGTTGGCCGTAACCGGTCTTCAGCCCGTACTCGTCCAGACTCTGGCAGGCCTTGCTTCATGGGCAGTTCAGACTGTTCCAGGGAATTGGGCAGTCGTTTGTAGACACTGAGAATGCAATCTTCACCTTCTTCCTGTGCCAATAAATAACAAAAGTGAGCTGTAGGGGGTGGTATAGTGAGGAACAAGACCCTCTCACCTCCTACCCCAGTGGGTCCTCTCCAACCTGGTAGAGGAAGATAAAGCCCAGAGAGACCACAGTGTAACTGCAAAGACATGCTTTTGCTTGAGTATAGGCCAATATGTAAGTTCCTGGAAATCAGACACTCTGAGCTGAGTGGGAACAACCAGGGTAGATTAGGAGGCTCACAAATGAACAAGATCCCTGTTAAGGACAGGGCCTAGAACTGGAGGTATCGGAGTGGCACCTCTAAGTAGACACCAGCGGACCTAAAGTTGTATATAGCAGCCTGCATGCTTTTGGGGGTGAGAGCCATTTTCTTGGTGGGGGAGGGGGAGTATGCTGAAAAGAGGGTTAGACAGCTCTTTTTCTACTTCCTACATACAAACTACACCAAAAAGCTCACGTGCCTTATCCCTTTTATATTCCATGCCTGTCCTTCATCTAAAATCTCTACTCTGAGATGTCCAAAGCTTCAGGGGCCTAAATAGCCCATCTTTCTCTGTAATCCTCTTCTGTAATTCTCCTTTTTAAATGTTTTCCTTGGTCCTCCCAAGCAAATGCAGATCAAAGAAAAACACAATTATGAGTAAGAAATTGGGGTGGGTAACCTATGTCCCTGGGGCCACATGTGGTCTCCTGGATCCTTGAGTGAGGCCTTTTGACTGAATCCAACTTTTACAAAATAAATACATTGTTAGTAAAGGATTATTTGTCTTTATCTTGTAAAGACTTATAATAGCAATACTGAACCAGCCCTGCTCTCAGTCTACGATATAAAGGGACAGACAGAGTCTGGGGCAAAAGAAGTCCACTTGGACTTGAGTATAAAGTCAGCCCAATGTAAGTCCTAGCTCTCTTCATCCCCTATATACTGGCAGCCTACAAAGATCTACTGTCTGAGGCAGACAAGAATTTGCCTACTATCACCCCGAGCTTCCCATCAGCTTAGCTGGTGCTTCCAGGTGATGCTTCAGGCCATCAGAAGAGCTCCTTTGGCAGCTCTGGCAAATTGAGAACAGAAGACATACTTCCTTTTTGTGTCACCATGTAAGAGGGGAAACCAGAGAAGACCAATTGGAAAAGGGATTTTGGAAGGTAACACTGCTCTCTGCCAAAACTTCAGGTCAGATCAGGTCAAACCCACCTGGTCTTCAACAGTTCTCTGAGCTACCTGCTTTTACTCAGCGTTTCCCAGCCCCATGGTTGCCAGAATCCTAGGTCACACAGGTCCGTGTGGAGGGGAGAAAGTAAATAGGAAAAAGGAAAGAGGAAAAGTAAGAGACAAAGGGGAGAAAAATGATAGAGAACGGAAGAAACAGAACTCACTGTGCCTGCTGAGTGGTTCCAGGCTGCAGCCGTGACAGTGTCTCCCACCCGGTTCCGACGGGTAAGCACCTCTGACACAGTGAGGCTACTCTGGGTCCTTCTGGAGGAGAGCTCAGAGGCATCCCCTGAACTTCCTACCCTTCGAGTTCCCTGCTCCAAAAGGTAGGACCTGGGTTGTTCAAGTTCCAAGAAGTCTGTGGAAGACCTTTGGGTATAGGGATTGGTGGATTCCATGTTTTTACCTATTCGTGTAGGGTGGTCTTCTGAAGATTTCAAGTCTTGCCTACTCTTCCAGGCATTCCGCACAGTAACATGTCTAGCCTCTGAGGAACCTGCTTCTGGAGCAGTATGGCTTTTCCACCTGATTGTCTCCGTTGGGGGTGCATGGCTGTTCCTTTCCACAGGGTCCGATGCCTTGATTATAATGCTGCTCCGAGAGACCACTGTTTCTGGCCTGTTCTTCAGGGGCCCATCTCCCATCCTCTCAGCTTCTGTGAGCTGCAGGGTGATATCGTGTTTATGAATGGAGAGCTCAAATGGGGAGTTGACATGGTTGCTAACTGATGTGAGCTCTGGTGGCCCAACCTGGATATTGCTGGTGGATGTGTGCCTCTCCCTTGAGACCTCCCCTGGGTTGGCTCTAGGGCTATTGTTGTCAGAGGGGTAGATAGTAATGCTGCTTGTCACTTTGTTTGTCCCTGGTTTGGAGGTGGATTTCTGTTTCTCCAACATAGCCTCAGTTCCAGATCCTCCCATGATTTTTTTCACATCCTTATCAATGATAACAGGTTTGATGACAGCTCTAGACCGCAAGGCCTCTCTGGGACTAAATGGCCTCTGGCTTTTTACCCCAGCACTGCTGGGATCTGTGTATTCCACAGCATTGGTGCAGGCTCTGATAGATTTCACAGATTCATTTTCTATTTCCGTATCTTTATCATTCTCAAATGGGGAGATCCTAGGTCCCCCTCGGGATTTAGCCTTTTCCCTAGAGTTAGACTGTAGTTTGAGCTCTGGCTCTGGAGTGATGGTTGTGTTTACCAACTTGGCAGTAACAAGAGATGTCATGTCCAAGTCATCATCTGAGTCTGGCTTCTCTTTGCCACTAGATTTGATGACTCGACACCTCAAAGCTTCGTGCTGACTGCTGTCTTCCATCACAACTGCTACAGGTTGATCAACTCCTTCTTTACTGGGGGTTGAAAAGCCCTGAAGGATGTTCTCTTGGCTTCTAGAACTATAAGGATACTTTGATAAAATAGGTGCCTTGGAATTTGGGGAACTGGTATCAGCTTCCAGGCCATTGGCAGCCTTTCTGCCTTTCGAGAGCCCTTCTGAGGAGGATCTTCGAGATGAGGCCAGAGCTCCAGTGACCTTAGAACAGCCAGAGTCCGTAGCCTGAGTTATTTGACTTCCATTGCCAGGTGCCTGTCCTCTCCTGCCAAAGACAGCCTCGGAGGAGGTATCAGAAGCCTTGTCAGCTCTACCCAATGTGTCACTGGAAACAGACCCATGAGTAGTGTCACTAAATGTTCGTGTTGTCTTCTCTGCTTTTCCCTTCAATCCACTCTCAGTGCCTGTCCTGGGAGTCCCCTTCCAAACTTTACTGTGCTCCTGAGCAGCTGGAGGATAGCGACTGAGTACCGATGGCTGATCCCTGGACTTCTTCCCTTCACTCTGAGAAGACCCAGATGCAAATCGGTCTTCAGTTCTCTTTGTTTCCTGAGTCCCACTATCTGTACCTGCCCCCATATTAGAAGCTTTTCCTGCCCTCCTGTTGGTGAAACTGGGAGAAGAAACCTGCCTGCTGATAGAATAGTTTTCATTATTAACAGTAAATTCCTTGTTTCGGAGCCTTTCTCGCTTATGCTGAGGCGACAGTTCCCGGGATGTGTGCTTGGACAAAGATGCCTCAATCCCGTGGCCTCTGAACTTAGTCCTCTCATGTCTGCCTTTGCTGGACAATAAAGCATCTTGCCCTTCTACCTCTCCATTTTCTAACTCTTTCTGTTTCTTGATTTGTAGCTTTATTTCCTCCAGCTGGCTGGCTAAGAATTTGTTTTTATTTTGTTCACTTAGGTAATTATCTTGAAGGTCATTATTTTTGGCCCTTATTTTTTTAAGTTCTTCTTCCAAAGATTCAAAATGTCTAATTTGAGTCTTAAGTTTCTCAATCTCTTGGTTAAGGTCTTTGACTTTGTTGTCTTCCTGATTTCGGTTCTTTTCATTTTCTGATTTATTTCTTGTTTCATTTTCCACCTGCTTTAGATAGTCCAGAGTACCCTTCCTTCTTGATTCTTTGGACGGTAGTGTAGAAGAGATGCCATCCTCAATCCGTAGGTCATTTCTTTCCAGATTAGAAGCATTCCTTGTATAATCTCGGTTCGTTTTTTTGTTCTGCTCTAGTTTTTGAGTTAGTTCTTTTATCAATTTCTCATTTTCCTTCTCCTTTTCATTCAAGTATTTTCTCTCACTTACAAAACTCAGAGTTAACGATTTCAGTTTTTCTAACTCTGACGCTAAACTCTGCTCAGTTTTATCCAGACGGTCCTCAGAAGATTCCAGTTCTTTCACCTTGACTTTGAGCATTTCAAGCTCAGAGGAGATTTTCTTGGTCAGATTTCTTTCCTCATTCAGGCTCAGGCACAGCTGAGTGCAGTCATTCTTACTCCTGCTAAAGGCTTCCTCTAGTTTCTCTAATTCAGCCATTCGTTTCTGAAGCCGTTCAATCTCAGATTTCAGCTCCCGAGTTAAGTTTTCCTCCTCTTCAAGTTTCTGCTTCATCAGATGACACAGATCCTCTGCTCTCTTAATTTCCTCATCTTTACCTTCAATTCTCAACACCCGCTGGCGCAGCACTTCAATCTCAGTCAACATGCTGGAGTTGCTGCCTTCTGCCTGAATCACCTTGTCTTGGAGATCCAAGAGCTCATCCTCTGCTTTCTGGAGATTTTTTGTGGCTTCCTCCAACTCATCAAGGCGGCGGCTTAGACTCTGTAACTTAAACCGCAAATGGCGGCTAGAGGCAGTCTCCTTATAGCTTGCAAATTCGGCCATGTCTATTGCCAGCCAATGTGGGCTCCTAGAGGCATCCAATTCCACTCAAGGGGATGAGAAATGGTTACCTTTCTCTTGGCAACCACAAACTTCTTTGGCAGGTGGAGATCATTATCTGACTACAGAAAGAAAGTAGAGAGCACGTTAGTCAGCAAATCTAAAACCAACACACTAGCACTTTAGCTCTTATCTATAGTCCTTGGGATGAGAACACAGTAGGAGCTCAAATTTGTTGAATGAATGAACTTGAATAAATCGACAAGAAAGCACTGGTTCTTTACTGACGGTATGGAGCTGATATTCTTTATCACCAGTGGGCAGCAGGGCAAAAAGATGAAGGCGGCCTGAATTCTCATGGTAGGGTTTGTAATACAATCTTTGCCATCTGCCACCTGCCTAATTTCTGGAGAGTCATTAACCTTTCTACAAGATGTTAACTACATAAACCGAGCCTCAGTTTTACTTATTTGTAAAATGGGAATAACGGTATCTACCAGATCTGTCCCCACTGTTGTTCTAATACAAGGAAAGTTCTCTAAACAATTCTAAGATTGTTATATTTAAAAGTTCTCTCTCATGAGCTGTTATGATGTAAAGCAAGGGTCCTCACACTTTTTCAACAGGGGGCCAGTTCACTGTCCCTCAGACTGTTGGAGGGCTGGACTGCGGGCCCCGGGACAAGTCAGCTGCTAAGCAGGACAGGCAGTGGAGGCAAAAACACCCGGTGGGCCGGATAAAGGTCCTAGGCAGGCCTCATGTGGCCCACGGGCCATAGTTTGTGGACACCTGATAAAGTGATACCAGTTAATTCACCCACCTTGCTATATAAATGGTGAGCTAAATTTATGACATACTAATGGACTCTTTCCATACTCATTTTCAATACCTCTTCTCCTACAAGCTTGGGTATATCTGTAAGTGGAATCAGATTTGACTCGATGCTGGCCAGCCAACAGGAGGCAGCTTCTACAAAATTTATCCTTTTACATTTTAATAGAAATCTCCCAGACATTCAAGTTGCTGTGAAGACTGGATTGTTTCTTTGAAAACCATTTCACTGCAGATATATACCAAACATATCATGGGTTACTTTAAGGAAAAGGAGAAAGGAGAAAGACAAAGTAGACTTTAGTTTCATATGTAACTTCCTCATTTAAAAAAATAGTAAAATGGATTAATGTATGTACTTTATGTAACTTAACAAAAGACAAAAAAATACTTTTTGTGAACAATAAGTTCTACAGAATTAAAAAGCAGACAACAGACTTCCTCTTACATCAGGTAGGACAACCCAGATAACCTGGAAAACCTCTTGTACTGTCAATATCTAAAAATGCTGAATAAAATATAATGACTGTTTTACATTTATACTTGATCTCACAGAAAGACACAGCCCAGTTAAAACCAGAAGAGAAAACTAAAGGAAAACACAGAACAGTAAGTTTAAACTACTAGTGAACTGTCCTAATAGAGTTTTGCAGGTCTCCAGAACCAAAGACTTTGGGTCCTTACAGTTGTGTAGGTGTTAAGAGACAAGGGTTTGAGCCCAACAGAAGTGGAAAATGAGACCCCACTAAAGCAAGAACTATTGGCAAACCACAGCTTCGGGAAAAAATGTATAGTAGGGAAAAAATATCACTTCGCTGACTTAGGGGGATAGCAGGACTTGGGCTGTGTTAGGGGGAAAGGGAGGAGAATCGCTAAAAAATTTATCAACTTAGACTTGCTCTCTCTTCAGTTCAGAGTTCAAATTTACACTATGTGAATGGCCTGGGACCAATTCTGTTTTTTGCTAAAGAACTAATATAAAATGGTCTCGGCCTGGTAATATTCCTGGGAAACTTAGCTGAGTAAACAAAAGTACTCTGAAGGGGAGACACTCTCTGCTGAGGTCACAGAGGATTCCTACAGATAAGTCCACCAAACCTCAGTTTATGATTCCAAATTACAAAACACATGAAGACCAATCTTTTACTGTAACTAAGCAAAGCAGAATTATACCAATAAGAACCAAAGTTAAGGCTTGGCACCTATAGCTCAGTGGCAAGGGCGCCAGCCACATACAACGAAGCTGAAGGGTTTGAACCCAGCCCGGGCCTGCCAAACAATGACAACTACAACCAAAAAATAGCCGGGTGCTGTGGCAGGCGCCTGTAGTCTCAAGCTCTTTGGGAGGCTGAGACAAGAGAATCACTTAAGCCCAAGAGTTTGAAGTTGCTGTGAGCTATGATGCCATAGCATTCTACCGAGGGCAACAAAGTAAAACTCTGTTTCAAGAAAAAAAAAATAAAACCAAAGGTAATATGATTATTGGCTAGAGACCATAAAATAACCACATTCCAATATTTAAAGTCATAAAAGAAGGAATGAAAAAAAGGAACAAGTTACTACCAACAAAGATCAGAAGATGTGAAAATTAATCAAACAGAACAGCTAGAAAAAGAAGAAATTGCACATTAGATTGCTATTTACATTAAATGTAAATGAAGAGAAACAGTGGTCAAGAAGAGATATGAAATTACAAAGGTAGCATACGGTTTTTAAAAAATGGAAAAAGAGAGGTTAAGAGACAAGGAAAATAAAAATAAAAAGATCCAAATGAGGAGGTTTAACATGTAGTTCAAAATAATGGGATAAAGAATGGGGAACACGCAACATTTGAAGAGATATTGCTTAGAATTTTCAAGAGCTGATGAGAAATACTGACATGGTTTGGATGCTTGGCCCTCCAAATCTCATATTGAAATTCAATCCCTACTGTTCTGTGGGGGAGGCTGATGGGTGGTGTTTGGGTCAGGAAGGCAGATCCTTCATGAATGGTTTGGTGTTCTCCCTCTGACAGTGAGTGAGTTCTCACTTCATTAGCTCATGCAAGAACTGGTGTTGAAAGGAGCCTGGCAGTACCTCCTTCCTCTCCTTGCTCCTGCTCTTGCCAGGTTGACAGGTCTGCTCTCCATCTTTCACCTTGATTGGAAGTTCCCTGAAGCTCTCACCAGAAGTAGGTGCTGGCAAGATGCTTCTTGTACAGCCCACAGAACCATAAGGAAAATAAACTTCTTTTCTTTATAAATTATCCAGGCTCAGGTGTTCTTTTAATAGCAATGCAAAATGGACTGACACATACATGGAACCTCATATTCATGAAAAAATGTCCCCAACAGGAATAAAACTAAATGTGCCCCTAGATACATCATAAAGATGTAGAATAATACTACAAAGAGAAAATCATATAAAAACAAAAAAGGAGGCTTGGCGCCCGTAGTAGCATAGTGGTTATGGTGCCAGCCACGTGCGCAGCGGGTGGTGGGTTCGAACCTGACCCGGGCCAGCTGAATAACAATGACAATTCCAACAACAACAACAACAACAACAAAAATAGCCGGGCATTGTGGCAGGCGCCCATAGTCCCAGCTACTTGGGAGGCTGAGGCAAGAGAATTGCTTAAGCCCAGGAGCTTGAGGTTATTATGAGCTGTTATGCCATGGCACTCTACCAAGGGCAACATAATGAGACAGTCATTAAACAATTGCTTCAGTCCATATTGTAACAAAATATCCAAGATGGTAATTTATAAACAGAAATACATTTCCTCATACCTAGGGAGGCCAGGATGTACAAGATCAAGGTGCCAACAGATTCACTGTCTGGTTAGAGCCCCAGTCTCTGCTTCCAAGATAGCACCTCCAACGATGTGTCCTGACAGGGTGGGAGAAATCAACCAGCATAAAGGGTAAAACTCACTTTAAGTCTTGCTTGTTTTTTTAAGAGAGGGGATCTATGTTGCAGACTGGCCTCAAACTACTGGACTAGCTGGGACTACAAGTATATGCTACCATGCCCAGCTCCTCAAGCACATTTTATTTTTATTATTTTATTTAATCTTTTTAGAGACAGGGTCTCACTCTGTCACCTAGGCTGGACTTCAGTGGCTGGACTGAAGTGGCTGGAAGGAGTGGCTGGACTTCAAACTCCTGAGCTCAAGTGATCCCTCCATTTCAGCCTCCTACCTTTCTATAGGTAGGACTACTGGTGCATGCCACCAGGCCTGGCTAATTTTTTTTGTAAAGGCAAGGTCTCACTATGTTGCTCAGGTTGGTCTTAAATTCCTGGCCTCAAGCAATCCTCCTGCCTTGGCCTCCCAGAGTGCTCTGTGATTACAGGTGTACCTAGTCAACATCAAATCCTTTCTTAAAGGTGTTTATCCTTAATTTTCTCCCAAAGGCCCTACCTCTTAATACTGTTGCACTGGAGATTTAGTTCCAACATGAATTTCTGAGGAGACAAAAACATTCAAACCACAGTACCAATCTATAAAGAAATAACAACTGAATCACTGCTAGCAGAAACTTTTAAGTAGATGGCAAGTAGAAGGCAAAAGACATAGTGATAATTCAGGCGTCCTCTGTTTCATTGTCCTTCCCTTTTAACTAAAAACCCTGCGTCCAGCAAGTCTACTGAAGCCATTTTCCAGCAGCGTGTGTTTATTTACTGTCCTGGTGTCACATTTTGGTAATGCTCACAATATTTCTAACTTTTTCATTATTATTTGTTATGATCAGTGATCTTTGATGTTACTATTGTTAATTGTTTTGGGGCACCATGAACCATACCCACATAAGATGGTGAACTTAATAAATGCTACATGTATTCTGACTATCAAAATTTTACAGGCAGGCTATTCAAATCCATTTATTTCCTTCTCCTCTGGCCTCCCCAATCCCTGAGACACAACAATATTGAAATTAGGCTAATTAATAACCTTACAATGGCATCTAAGTATTTGAGTGATAAAGGAAGAGTTCCACATCTCTCACTTGCAATCAAAAGCTAGAAATGGCCAGGTATGGTGGTATATACTTTTAATCCCAGCTACTTAGGGAACCTGAAGCAAGAGGATTCCTTGAGGGCAGGAGTTCAAGGCTACAGTGTGCTATGATTGCACCTATGAACAGCCACTGCACTCCCTGCTGGGCAACAGAGTAGGACCTCTTGACAAAAACAAAAACAAAAACAAAAACCATTTGTATCAGTGCTCCCAAAAGTGTGATACTTAGGTGTAAATCTAACAAAAAAAGTACAACATCTATATGATGGAAACTACAGAAACATTTACAAAAGA